TCAAAATTTTGTAGATCTAAATCTATCTATATAGAATAGGAGAAGCAAAACCACTACATTAAGACAAGTGTCTTAGCCACAAAAAGCCAAGTGGCATTTTTAGGACAAAATAAAACTACTTTTCTAACTAACTTTTTTATTGAATTTTAAATTTTGAATTAATTGGTTACACTACTTGAATTAATAAATATAGATATCTTAATTATCAATAAAAAAACGAAAATCTACTCATTCAAATTGGAGTTTTAAAATTATTTTTACAATAAAAAAAAATAACAAAAAAAAATAAAAAAAAAACTACCAATTTAAATTGGAGAGTAATGTCTTCCTAATATAGTTGTAGTTAGTGTGTGTGTATATATGGGAGTGTAGTATTATATAAAATTGGTTTTTTATTAATAATTCATATGAAATATATACTTATATATATTATTAATATATATATATATATATATTTATTATATATTTATATATTATATATATATATATTATATATATATTATTATAAAAGAAAAGTAGTAGAAAAAATATTAAACAAACTAATATGCTAATAAAAAACTTTCTATTAACAATGCAATTATACTAAAATATGGATAATATAATAAAGAAAAATACATAACAAAAAATTATTCGATGACTGTATAAGTCCCTTTTAATTTAATAGATATTTTATTCATCAAAATTCAGTAATATTATCGAGAACAACAAAATAAAATTTAATTAATTTTTTAAGATTTATAAAAATATATATCTTCTCTCATATTACAAAAAAAAAAAAAAAGCGATCAGACAAAATATTAAAAAAAGTAGTAATATGCTAATAAATATTTTTATTAACAATGTATAATTACTAAACATTGGATAATATAATAAAAAAAATATAAAACAAAAAAGTTCTTCAATAACTATATAAGTCTTTTTAGTTTAATAGAGATTTTATTATTGGGTATATCGTATTGACAAATAAGATGATAATTTATCTATATAGAATAGGAGAAGCAAAACCACTACATTAAGACAAGTGTCTTAACCACAAAAAGTCAAGTGGCATTTTTAAGACAAAATAAACTACTTTCTAACTAATTTTTTATTGAATTTTAAATTTTGAATTAATTGGTACACTACTTGAATTAATAAATATAGATATCTTAATTATCAATAAAAAACGAAAAATAAAAAAAAAATATTCTACTATTCAAATTAGAGTTTTTAAAATTATATTACATAAAAAACAAAAATAACAAAAAAATAAAAAACTACCAATTTAAATTGGAGAGTAATTTCTTCCTAATATAGTTGTAGTAGTGTGTGTGTGTATATATATGGGAGTAGTTATTATACTAAATCGGTTTTTTATTAATAATTCATATGTCAATTTAACAATATATATATATATATATTATATAAAGAAAGTAGTAGACAAAAATATTAAACAAACTAATATGCTAATAAAAACTTCTATTAACAATGCAATTATACTAAATATTGGATAATATAATAAAGAAAAGTACATAACAAAAATTATTCGATGACTATATAAGTCCCTTAATTTTAGATATTTTATTCATCAAAATTCAGATAATATTATCGAGAAACAACAAATAAATTAATTAATTTTTTTAAGATTAATAAAATATATATATCTTCTCTCATATTACAAAAAAAAAAAAGCGATCAGACAAAAATATTAAACAAAAAGTAATATGCTAATAATATTTTATTAACAATGTTATAATTACTAAACATTGGATAATACAATAAAGAAAAATATAAAACAAAAAGTTCTTCAATAATTATATAAGTCTTTTTTAGTTTTAATAGAGATTTTATTATTGGGTATATCGTTAATGACAAATAAGATGATAATTTAAATTTTATAAGTAATACGATCTAATATGTTCAATATTCTACTCATTCAAATTGGAGTTTTAAAATTATTTTACAATAAAAAACAAAATAACAAAAAAAAGTAAAAAAAAAACTACCAATTTAAATTGGAGAGTAATTCTTTCCTTAAATATAGTTGTAGTAGTAGTGTGTGTGTGTATATATATGGGAGTAGTTATTATACTAAATTGATTTTCTATTAATAATTCATATGTCAATTTAACTATATATATATATATATATATATATATATATATATATATATATATATATATATATATATATATATAAAGAAAGCAGTAGACAAAAATATTAAACAAACTAATATGCTAATAAAAACTTCTATTACAATGCAATTTATACTAAATATTGGATAATATAATAAAGAAAATACATAACAAAAAAAATTATTCGATGACTATATAAGTCCCTTTAATTTAATAGATATTTTATTCATCAAAATTCAGATAATATTATCGAGAACAACAGAATAAAATTTAAATTGATCTTTTTAAGATTAATAAAATATATATTTTCTCTCATATTACCAAAAAAAAAGCGATTAGGCAAAAATATGAAACAAAGTAATATGCTAATAAATATTTTTATTAACAATGTATAATTACTAAACGTTGGATAATATAATAAAGAAAAATATAAAATAAAAAAGTTCTTCAATAACTATATAAGTCTTTTTAGTTTAATAGGGATTTTATTATTGGGTATATCGTATTGACAAATAAGATGATAATTTAAATTTATTAAAGTAATACGATCTAATATGTTCAAACAAGCCCGATTAAGATTTAATTTAACTAATATTGTTTAATACTGACCTCGCATCGGACGGATTCGATTACTAGTATATAAAATATGAATCCTAAATGTGTGAGATAAAAAAGGTCCCGCACAACTAACGTGAGTTGTGTAAAATCACTCGTCATGTGCTTGCTCCAAAGGAAAATCTCGCAAATTTACTGTTGGTCCCACTTTGACAGTTGCAAAAAAAAAGGAAATCCTTAGTTCCTGTTTCTAGTTTTTTACCCGAATGACACAAATGCCCTCAGTGCACAGAGGTAGTTAGGTCAGACACCTCCTAACTAAATGCAAACTGAAATTGGTTACGGCACTTTTATTACCACGCCAGCTGTGCTACGATCCTCTTTATCAACGTGGTATTCAATAAATAAAGACTGCCGTAGTCTGACTGACCCCCCTTCGATTTCCTCATCAATAAATGAATTTACATGATTTTTTTATTTTGAATACTTTAAGGTTTGAGTAGTGGAAAATTAAGACGGACATAGTGATGCACCAACTTCAGGAATTACGATATGCGACGGTCGTGCGACCGTGGGAGATTCCCGTATCTTGGCATTAATACCAAATGCTAATCAGCATGTATAGTCACATGGCCCATGGCTAACTCTATGCAACTCAAATTCCATAAAAATCCTTATCCAAGCATAAGTAGCGATTATAATATTCAAAATATTCTGTTTAGTTTTATTAATACAATGGAGCAGATTGTTCACGAGAGCCCTGTTCCTAAATATTACATTAGTTAGTATGCTTTTACGGCTTTACCTCTCGCTGCAATGTAATGCATACTTACGAATTATGATGCGGGATCAATCAGCTACTCGATAAGATTATGCATTTATATTTTTTGCTCTTCAAAGAGAAGTGCAGTAAAGAGAAATTCATGAGATTAGCGATAGCTGAGTGGTACATTTGTGCGATAAAATAGGAGATTCTTATAATAATTAGGCTCGAATCGAATTAAATTTTTGACTTAAATATCTAAATAATTAAATATTTTTGGAGCATTTTTAATTTCTTTTAGTCCAATTTTACTTCAGGAATTGTCAATTTTACTTACCAAATAAGTAAAGAGTGAACAATATAATGTCTTTGAGATGAAAAGCATTCCAAAAAAAAGCAACGAAATCTGAGTAATTGTTAATATCTAACTTTAGAAAAAGAAAGTAGAGAAATAGAAAACAGTAGTATAAGCATATCATGTGAGTTTCACCGTCGGTTGTCAAAAAAAAGTAAAAAACAGTCAAAAGGATGAACAGTGCCCAAAAGTACTCTTCCACTAAAGAATAATTAGGAAACCGATTTGACGAAAAAATAAAAGCAAAGTAAAAAAGAAAGAAAACAAAAATTGCAAAATCCGTGAAGGCAGTGGCATACACGAAAAAAGAAAGAAATATTGAGGGTGTTTCAGTCAATTAACGTAACAGCACAGTGATTGTATGCACTCCCGGCCAAATAAAAGTCACAGAAGTATTCCTTTCTCTTACTCCGTTGTAACAGTGCAGATAACGGAGCTCCCAGACAAGAGACACCGAAGCGAGCCGTGACTAGTGTTTATCTATCTCTCTTCTCTGAATCATTCCAAAACTGCATAACCAGAAGCTTCTTCGCGCAAAGCAATGACTGTAAATTACTAAATCACAGAAAATCTTATCCATTATCCTCTCAATTTTACGTTTTCTTTCACGTATTTCAGTTCATAGAAAGTTGCATTAACCATTTCTTAAAGCTCTAGTCTGTATCGAAACCCGAAAGCACGGAAATTTGTGTGCTTCGAGTTTGAAAAACTCGTACGTTTGTATAAATCGCGTGTACAGCGTTAGTGTGAATATATGCATGGAGATATGCGCACCTTTTTTTTTCTCCTTATATTAATTTTTTTTTTCTGTGTTACTGGTGAATTGAATTGCATTATAGGATTAGCTTGGAAGGAATGCTGAAAGGACCACGGGATTGCGGTGGAGTACAGTGAGGTGACGGCGTCACCGTTAATTCAGGTAATGTTGTTGCACTTTTAATGGAGTTCTACTAAAAATATGTTGATTTCTTTTCCATTTTGTTATCCTCGTAGTTTCTTAATATTCAAAAGACGAGTCAAACGACATATTTCCTTTTTATTTGCTCTTTTATTGCCTTTATTATTTTTGTCGAAAAAGAAAGTGAAGAGGTATAATAGAATCTTAGAGTATTTTTGATATCTCGTTCCCTCATTCTTTTGAGCTTCCATTGCAGCTCAATACTGGTAGCTGCACTTCCATTGCTGGATCTGTTGCAAGCAATCTTTCTGAGTGCATTTTGACCACATATCGGTGCTATTGAGTGTACTTTGATGGTACTGCCTGTGTGCAAGCTTGAATCTGTTGAATTTTGCAAAACGGATGTTTATAGAAGTCTATATTAAGTCGGCAATGTTGTTCTCTCCGAATTTTACTTAATGATATTGACTTGGAGAAATGTTGGATTTTTGTTAAAAGTATAAGCAGTTCATATTGTTGATCTTATTGTTGATCTGGAGATGTGCTTCTTATTGAGCTGAAAAATTAGAGGGAGTTGAGGGAACAATCCGGGATTTACATATGGCTTCATGGGAACATTTTGGGGAAATCGCAAATGTCGCCCAACTTACTGGCATAGATGCAGTGAGACTAATTGGGATGATTGTGAAAGCTGCTACCACAGCCCGGATGCACAAGAAGAATTGCAGGCAGTTTGCACAGCATCTCAAGTTGATTGGAAATTTATTGGAGCAGCTCAAGATTACTGAACTTAAGAGGTATCCAGAAACCCGAGAGCCATTAGAACAACTTGAAGATGCGTTAAGGAGGTCTTATATATTGGTCAAGAGCTGCCAGGACAGGAGCTATCTTTATCTGTTGGCTATGGGGTGGAACATTGTCTACCAGTTTCGCAGGGCTCAGAATGAGATTGACCAATATTTGAAGATTATTCCACTTATCACTCTAGTGGACAATGCTCGAGTCAGGGTATGGAGACATTGCTCTTTTGTCCATAGTGTTTACCATTCCGCTTTATATGCTTCCATTATCTGTTTGTTTCACTACTCTTCCATCTTAAGATCTATATTTGTTCTTTCTCATTTTTGTTGATGACATGATGGGGATGTAATTGAGTTTGATAAGTTCATGAGTTGAAGTCAGAATAATTGGTCATTATTCAACTCCTCCTCAGGTCATTACCTTGTTTTGATACTCTATTTTTCAGATCCTTCAAAATCCTTGTCTTACCCTTGTCGATCCGAAATGATTTTTGTGTGTGTGTGGAATCCGCACCTGGATTTGGTCAATCTAACTTGGGTGTGTTGACTAAACCTATGGCCAAGTAGTATAGGTAGATTAGGCGTTCGGTTTGATTTTGGGTGTATGTCATATACATATTCCCGCAAGGTACTAGAACACTTTGCTATTATACGAATAACTCATAAAGAAGTATAGGCTGATTTGATATTTGGTATGACTTTGGGTTTATGTCATGTATATATCCGCTTCTCCAAATGCATGACAGATGATGAGCACAGTTGAAGGCATGGGTGTCAAAAGTTCTTTTAACAGCCACCAGCTCTTTAAGTTACTATGAAAAGTATAGAATGTTCGTTGATTCTTGATATGGACAAGATCTTTTCTCAGAATATGAATGAGAGAGCAGGCCCACACACTTTTGGGTATTGAAGCTATTTTGGGTCTATTACAATGAACAATGGTCAGTAATATTGTGTTGCTATTCCATCCATTTTGTAGAATCTCTTTAATCACCCTTGAGGTGAGAGTTTCTTATCAAGTTTGACCAAGAGAAAATTGCACTGGTTATAAGACGGTGCATCGGTTACAATAAGAGCAACCTGCTACTTTACCTAATATTCTTGTTTAATATCTACTCATGCATGATTATAGTTTTATTTGACTGCTATTGCTCACTTGGAAAGAGTTATATACATAAATACATAAACTTTGTGTTCACAGTAACCAATATCTATTCTATCCCAAGTTGATAGATCTTGCTTTCCATATGTTGACAGGAGAGGTTGGACTTTATTGAAAGGGACCAGCATGAATACACATTGGAGGCTGAGGACATGAAGGTGCAAGAAGTTATTATGAAACCAGAGCCTTCTAAAGATGATACCATTATATTAACAAAGAACCTTTCTTGTTCCTACCCAAGAGTACCTATCAATGAGGCAATTAAAAAAGAAAATGAAAAACTCCAACTAGAATTGCAACGCTCACAAGCTAATTTAGATGTAGGTCAGTGTGAATTCATTCAGCATCTTCTGGATGTAACAGAGGTAGTTGCCACTAACTCTCTATCATTGAAGAGTTCACCTAACAAGCCTTCCAAAAAGTTGGATGAAAGTTACTCAAATGTTGATAGTTACACGGAACATTATGATGAAAGTTATGCTAAAAGTGATGAGAAACGGGGAACTTCAAGGTAAGTTTTCTCAAGAGATAATATGATTTTTGCTAAGGTATGGTAGCTAAACTGTAGTCCTCAATTGGAGACTGTATCTCTTAGACTCATAAATCAAGTGCGAGGATATGGTCCATATTGCCTACCGTCAACTGATTCTTTTAAATGCTTAAAAATATTTACAGAAACACTTCATCAGTTTCGTCCAAACATGAACTGCTGTCTTCGAAGGGTTCACATCGATATGAAGAGTGGCATTCGGATCTGCTCGGCTGCTGTTCAGAACCTCTCTTGTGTATGTTTTAGAACTTGCTTTATGTTCTCTATGTGACCTTTCTTGTGATATTTCGTTCTCACTATGCTAAAACGGAAAGTGCAACTGAGTGATGCTTGATCGAAAGCCCTTGATAACAGACATTATCCTGAGAGGCCCCTCTCACTTGTCTTCTGCTAGAATTTGAGATCTGCATCAGCAAATACAGATTATTTTTTAATAAGTTAGAAAATACAGATTATTATAACCAAGCAAATGAAACTTGGCCAATAACTTCTAAATTTATAGCAAGATGACATGCATTTGAAGTAGAATGAGAAGTGTGAGAGTGCCTAGAAAAAGACAGGATACAAGGTTGTCAAACTTATGCATTGCAAGTAGTTACAATAAGCTTACTTAAGCTAAAAGAACGTGAGGATAAGGATAGGGTTTTCCCTTCTGGTTCAGGGTATAATACATTTAATTTGATGTTTATTGCAAACAGAGAGAGAATGAGAATTAGCACGCGATCCTTAAGTGACCTCTATCTTTTGCTACATTGGTTGCATCATTTGACATGGTGCTTTTCCAGTTTCCCTTTTTGACCCCAAAAAGTGGATGAGGTCTACACTTTAATCTCGGTCACTTTGATCCTCTGAATCGCCCTAAAGCTGGAGTGCAAGTACGTGTTCTTTTCTTTCGCGTACAAGCTCTGAATTTGGAGTGTCAAGATTTGACACATTAACTAGTATAATAAATTATTTAGGAATTCCTTCTTTGTTCTTCTTTCTCCAAAACGGAATACCTTCTGTGTTCTATGAACAAAACACTCCTTTCTATAGGTACTCAGAGTTCTGATTCACTGTTGAGTGGTCAATAGCACAAAAATATTTACTCCAAGAGAGAACAAATTAAGTTGGAGTAATAGGTCCAGATATGGATCTTGGTTGTGTCATTCTTGCTCGAAGGAGCTGGACGAGTTCCATTATGATGTGGCTAAAGTAGGACACTGTAGTACATTTACTAATATTTTGGTTATCATTTTGCCTATTATCAGTTCTTTTTTCTATATTACTGTCTAGCAAGCCATTTAACGAAAGATGCTGTCATCTGAAAGATCAGCGAGAACAGATACTGTATCCTGTAGTTGGTGTCTGTATCTGTTGTTCCACATGTGTAATAACCTTAGCTTTCAATGAGAATACTTAAATTAGCTAGATGGATGACTCCATATGTTTTCATATGATACATGGTCATGAAGGGAGGATGATTTGTTACGACACCAAATGCAGAATTATCTGTTTCATCATTGGGACGATTTCATTATATGAGGTTCAATATCAAGATATTCCTATTTAATACTGTGTCTTTTCTGTGCAGGTATTAAAACTGTTTTCTTTCCTTGTGGTACATTTTCTAAAGTTGCCAGTGTTGCTGCAGACAGGCATATATGTAAGTGGCTTTATATTCCATTTAGAACTTTCTGATCTATTAACTGCTCTAGTAATTGTGAGTGATAACGAGTGAAAATTAAGTCATCTTTTTCTTTCATCAGTCTTCTCTCTTTCTTAATTCTTAGAATAAATGAAGAACTGGTTAACAATCACAACAAAAAAAATGAAGAAACTGGTTAAATTAGTTCCTCTTTATTTTTTTTAGATATGTGTAACTCTTTACCATATTTATATTTCTGCAAGTGACTACTTGACTGACGGAAGTACTATGTTTGAGTTGCTAATACACATTGTAAGAGAAACTATATTATGTTTTCTGGTTAATTTTGACATTAGAGTATACTGTTTTATGTCAAGTGTTGCGTCTTTGCTGAAACTTTCAATTTCCGAGTATGATGTAATCTTGGGCCAGGACTATGAAATTATCGTCTGATATTATCAAACTTACGTTTCCTTCATTCATTAGAAAATCTTCTGAACTGGAGATAATCAAACAGAACTAGGTATAAGCAGGCTTGTCAACTCTTTTCAACTTAAGGAGCTTGATGAGCTGTTTATTTGAAGTTTGACTTAAAAAGTCTTCGGACCATCAATGATTGGTCAATCCCTCTTTTCTGACTAGCATTGCCTCCCTTTTTAATTGCATTGATCTTCTAAGAAAATAAAAACTGCAAGGTCAATGCTTGACTATGTCTTGTAAGTTGATTCAGCAAAAAATCTTGAAAATGTTATGCCAACCCTTAAATAGAATTACTCGAGTTAATTCAAATTCTATGGGCATAATTAGATATCTTACTGCTATCTTTGTCAGTTGAAAATACAAGAACCATTTCTTGACTTCTGTATCAATTTTGTAGTTCTGCAACTTTTTTTTTAGCTTATTCATTTTGATACTTTTGAAGCTAACAATATGAACTTTTGAATGTCTGTTATGCAGCTTCAGCGGAAGCTTTTAATGAATTAATGGCTTATTCATTGATACTATCCTGCTGTTGTTACACATGTTGCATCAGAAGGAAGCTTCGGAAAAAGCTAAACATCATGGTAAAAAGATTATGATAAATAAGTACCTTCGTGCATGTTTTGTCAGTAATGCTTCTTTTTTTTGAGATGCAATAAAATGAATACCCTTGAGATCTCACCAGCCATGCTGATTTTCTTTTCTTTTCTTATCAGGGAGGCTTTGTTGATGATTTTCTCTCTCATTTAATGTGCTGTTGCTGTGCTCTTGTCCAAGAATGGCGTGAAGTGGAGATACGTGGGGCTCATGGTATGCTTCACTCGAAAATCCTACTCCCTATTTCATATTTTATGTATGGTGCTTTTCTGTATTAGCAATATTTGGCTGGGAATTGCTTTGTAATTTCTTGACTTGGTTTTTTTTGGACTTCTAGCAGACGTGGATTCCTAGTATAACTCCCTAATTGTGATTGTATTATGGTAAGCTCATTTTCTATTGTGTTACGACATGCAGGTTTAGAGAAGACAAAAGTGAGCCCTCCAACCTCTCAATTCATGGAATCCTGAGAAGCTAAAGTTGGCACTATAGTGTTAAAAATATTAAAAGCATTATACGGAGGTAACGGTTCGTTACTGTTGTCACTTAATACCTGAGAGTATCTTTGCGTGTTCAAATCTTCCTTGCTGTAGAGTTATTCTTTAGCACAGGTTCAGTTTGTAAAAGTGACCCAAAGTTCTTTGTTCATTCGTTTACATATGGTTATACATGCATGTGATGTACGAATCTGTCACTTACTGGTGTACATATACAGGGAATATACATCTGAAAATGGTTTGGGTGTCTGTGCTCTGATATATTTTTATGTAGTCTGGTTTTTGTATGGTACATTGGCACTAGCCTGTTACTGGAGTATTAGTCTCCATGGAGGGATACGTATAGGACGTATTTCTTGTGAAAATAAACACGAATGCCAGGCAGTTGCAGTTTTAATCTTCCTTAGACTATGTGAAGATTTTATTCACCCCCCACCCGCGCCCCGAAAGGCCGTTTTTTTTTCTTGCTTCTTGTTGAAGCATGCAGCATACAACGCCAAATAATACTCCCTCCGTTCCTGTTTATGTGAACTTATTTCCTTTTTGGTCCGTTCCAAAAAGAATGAACCCTTTCTAAATTTGGAAACAATTTAACTTAAACTTACAATTCTACCCTCAATGAGAAGCTTTTATATCCAAACAAATACTCTGGGCCCTTTTTAACTTGTTTAGGACCATAAATTTTAAAAGTCTTCATTTTTTCTTAAACTCCGTGCTCAGTCAAACAGGTTCTTGGAACAGAGGGAGTAGTATTTAAAAAAGTTATAAATCAGGGAGTAAAACAAATGCCAATCGTAATACAACTGCATGTTCAAAAAATGGTATATCCAGCCATTATTTCTGAGACGATGTTATACTTCCCATTAAAGAACCAATCTTTTAATGTTGAAGGCAAATAGAACCGTGCGCGCCTTCTTAGCTCAAATATTGGGGGTGATCCGAGAGATCTCTAGACATTTATTTATCAATTGACTAACTCAGTTGACAGAGATATTTGCTCTTGAGTGTAATCAACCAATTGCAAGAACACGTCTAGCGTTGTTCAGTTCCATATTTTTCCATTTTATGCGGAAACTCAAGTCTTTCAATCCAAATAAACTTTAATTTCATCGACAGAAGCGAGCACGAAAAAAACCACAAAAGAGTTGGTTTAATTTCCAATGATAAGAAAGATTCTTGTTACGCAATAGAGGACGAATGCAATGCAATGCGCATGACTTGATCAAAAGCAAAATTTTATACGTTTAGCATAAAGACAAGTTCAAACCGTATGCAAGATACTTTTCACGTGATAACAAGTTGCAGAATATGACGTTTTCTTTAGTAGCACCCACCACAGAATGTTCGGAATATACATTCTTGTACTAGTTTTTTTTTAATAACTACATGGCTTTAACTTGATATTATAAGTCATTAGCTTTTGGCAGCACAGAAAGTGTATATATACCTGGGCCTTACAATTGAGTTGGTAAACTTAGTTGAAATTTGAATACATATATACTAGTATATATTACACAGGAAGATATGTGGCTTAGTTTACTGGCAGTAGCACTAATAGTTGTAGGATTCACTCATTGGGTGTATAGATGGAGAAATCCCAAATGCAAAGGGTTATTGCCTCCTGGCTCTATGGGTCTGCCCATTATTGGAGAATCCATTGAGTACTTCTCCTCACATCCTTTGGAAGGAATCCCACCTTTTATTCAGGAAAGAACTGCAAGGTTGTTAACCTGAAAATTTTCAAAGGATATTACTTATATAGTCAATGTACTTTAATTCATGAGCAGATGGTCTATCCGAAATAGATTCTCTACCTCCACAAGGTAGGGGTAAGGTCTGCGTACACATTATCCTCCTCAGACCTCACACTGTGGGGTAATGTTGTTGTTGTAGTCAATGTACTTTAACCAAAGGATCCAATTAGTTGTTTATTGTATTTTTAGGTTACCAATCTAGAGAACCTGTTACTATAGAAAATTAGCCGCTGTAATAGGTCATGTTAGTTAACTTGGTGGTGTGAAAAACTGTACATTGTCGGAGCATAGAAGTTAAACTCTTTGAAAAGACAAAACTATATATTCTCGAAAAATTTATTAGTGTTAATCATGGTTTAATTTGAGTACATACTCTTGAACAAACTTTCTTGATTTTGCAGATATGGGAAGCTATTTAAGACTAGTTTAGTTGGGCATCCAGTGGTTGTATCTACTGATCCTGAAGTCAATTACTATGTGTTCCAACAAGAAGAAGTGTTGTTCCAGTGTTGGTATACCAAGAGTGCTATTGAACTCACTGGAAAAGATGGATTTCTTGACAACAAAGGGACTGTTCATAAGTATCTTAGGAACTTAGTTCTCAGCCTAGTTGGCCCTGATAAGCTAAAACATAACCATATATCCGAAATTGACCTAAATATTCGTAAACACTTGCATCGATGGGCTGGCCAGGGCGAGGTTGACGTCAAAGAAGCTTCTGAAATTGTGATAATCTCTTAAGCTTTTAGACAGAACACACTTTTATATATCAAGTTAATGTTTCAACTTTCAACGCACTCTTCTTTTTGCTAATTGTTAATTTTGATATGTATTGATCCAGATGCTAATCACATTTATGGCAGAAAAGATCCTAGGATGTAATGAAGAAAAAGCGTTGGAATTGAGAGAGCAGTACAGAGCTTTCATGGGTGGCTTTGTCTGTTTTCCAATTAATCTCCCTGGTACAGCTTATCATGCCTCTTTACAGGTGAAGTATTTTGTTGTATCAAACCTAATATGACAACCTAAGAAATAGAGGTGTAACATGCTATAATCAGTTCACTTTTTATATTCGGCATGTATATAATTTAAACTCTTTAGCTGATTAGACATTAGTTTATGGCGAATGTTTTCGCAGGGGCGTAAAAATGCCATGAGGATGATCAAAGATATAGTGAAGGAGAGAAAAAAATCAAAGGAAAAACGAAACAAACAAGATTTCTTGGATCACCTCCTTTGTGAAGTAGCCAAAAAAGAAACAATTCTAACAGAGGAAAATGCCCTGAATACTGTCTTTGCAGTCTTGTTTGCTGCTTTTGAAACAACATCTTCTGCCATGGCCTTAGGTCTTAAGTTTCTCAATGATCATCCTCAGGTGTTGCCACAACTTATGGTTCGTTCCTGAAAATCTTTTCTCACCTATTTTACTTCTTCCTTGTCTTTTGTTTCTCATATTTTCTTACACTAAATCTCATATCTCTTTTTCTGCTTGATTTAGGAAGAACACGAGAACATTGTTAAAAACCGAGAGGACAAAGAGGCCGCGATTTCATGGGCAGAATACAAGTCAATGACATTCACACATAAGGTGCATTTACTTTCCATATGGTATTTGTGCTTTTAACTTAATTTAAATGGTTCAAGGTACTTCTTATATAGTGAGTATACTCTAATTTTGGCTTAACAATTTTATAATCCTACCTTTGTTTTGTTGTTACTAAAGATTAAGAACTGAGCTGCAGGTTGTGAATGAAATAGTAAGGCTAGCCAATATTGTGCCAGGAATTTTCAGGAAAGTACTGAAAGATGTGAAAATAAAAGGTAATGAAAATTCATACCATTTCCTAGTCTATTTTGCTTTTAGATGTCTGTATCTATTTATTTATCTGTTTATTCTTTTATTATTTGGTTTGCTTCAAGCTCAAGTCCTTAAATTGTTGCAGGATTTACAATTCCAGCAGGTTGGATATTGGTAGTATGTCCACCATCAGTTCATCTTGATTCAAATAACTATGAGGATCCCCATGTCTTCAATCCATGGCGTTGGATGGCAAGTGACATAATATTTGTATTTCATATGCTCTCCATATCATTTCTTATACTAACATTTTATATATAATGGACTTAAATTCTCTTAAACTATATATGGAAATATATATAATTAGGAGGAAGAACTACATAGTGCATCCAAGAAATTCATGGCATTTGGTGGTGGTCTCAGACTATGTGCTGGTGCTGATCTTGCCAAGCTGCAAATATCAGTTTTTCTCCATTACTTAGTCACCAAGTACAGGTAAAATTTTCGCAGTTTCAAGATAAAACTGTTCAATTGTAAAATGAATTAAGTTACTTTATACTATCATATATTGACAGTGTAAATATTTTTGCACTAGACTATAATAGCATGTCAATTAGCATTGTTGCTAGGTTATCAATTAATGTTTATCGTAAAGATTTACTAGTTTACCTTATAAGTGAATTTATTGCGCAAATATATTTTTACACATTGACAATGCATGCATATAATTTAAACTCTATTACAAAGGAGAAAAAGAGAGAGGTAAAAGTCAGTATCATTTCGTTATTGATTTTTCAGGTGGAGAATGAAAAAAGAAGGGGACATTGTGCGGACACCGGGTCTGTACTTCCTGGAGGGATTACATGTCCACATCTCTGAAAGAAATAAAGAAGATGATAAAAACCAGTGCATTTAATATTTAAATTTAATGTTATAATGGATGTAATATATGCGTGACAAGTTGATCGTATGGGCAACACTTGCTACTCAGAGTTGCTTTGAACTATCGAAACTATAATATACGGGATACTAAGTTATTTGTTTAATTAGTCGTGGAATTTAGAACATTTAAGTTGGGGTTAAAACCTTTTGACAAATTCCTTGTGGCAAAATCCATTCACTTGTTGTTTCACTGAGAAGCTTGATATTCTTGTAAGTTCGAAAGTAATGGAAAATACATAGTGAATTTATGTGATATTGTTCTTTTAGAAATTGATCGCCTAAAATTTGTTCTGCGTGAAATTGGAAACCACCTTGAGATAAAAATGGAACAATCAATCTTGGATGTTTTAATTTTGTGTACACTTATAAGTTGATATCCAAAGTAATTACAAGGAGGCTACAAAAGTAATGGATACCTTGGTGGATACAAGCCAAGCAGCTTTTCTTCCCGGGAGGGTAATAACTGATAACATCTTACTAAGTCATGAATTAATAATAAGGTATGCTAGAAAAGGGATCTCTCCAAGATGCATGCTAAAAATTGATATGCAAAAAACTTATGACTCAGTTGAGTGAGTTTTTCTGGAGCAAATTCTAGTTAGTCTAAATTTCCTGATCTTTTTGTAGAATGGATTATGGAGTGTGTTAGAACTGTTTCTTATTCTGTACTCATTAATGGAAGCCTACTCAATCCTTTGAGGCTAGGAAGGGATTGAGACAAGGAGACCCCCCTTTCTCCTTTTTTATTTGTCATGGCAATAGAATATCTTAGTAGGCTACTCAAGCAATTAGGAAAAATGCCTGATTTCAATTTCCATCCTAAATGTGCTAAAATGAATATGATCCAGTTGGGATTTGTAGATGACTGACGTTGTAACTTCAATACCACACAAGAGGGGGGGGGGGGGGGAGAGGGGGTGATTTGTGTGGTGTCCAATTTTTCGCTTAAACTGATTATGGAAGGACCTGGTTCTTCTAAGTGTTCCTTAACCTACTATTGCTGAAATAGTAAATGCAGAAAGTAAAGAACACAAGTATTTTACGTGGAAAACACCTAGCTCAAAAGGTGAAAAAACCACGATCTACTTCTCAGTAGGATTTTCCCAAACTCTCCACTAAATCAATGAGCCAAAAACTGCATTTACAAAACACTTTTGTAAACTTAGGATTAACTCTAATCTCGTTGTGGCAAACAACCTCTAACTGTTGTGACAACTTCAAGTTGACTCTAACTTGAATACTCTAAGTACCTATTACAATTGCCTCTAGATAAAGCTGAAAGGTACAATATGAAAATACCTACTACAATTGAACTAGAATAAAAGACAGACACTTGGAACTGGTTCTTCTATCTGGTTCATGTAGCTTCAGGTTTGCACACTTGAATCACACACGAACTGCTTGCAGAAAGCCTTGCTATTTTTCTCTCAATTCACGTTTAACTTCTGCCTTTGTGCATTTCTTGTAAAGTTCCTGCAATTTATGGAGTTAGTAGATGAAGAAATAACTAGAGTTCTAATGTTACTCTTCCTTAGTGGAAGAGTTCTAGTTGATCTCAACTTCTAACTCTTTCCCTATCATGGATAGTGTTCTCTTTGATTAAGGATTCCTTCTCTTTATCAATTATGCAACCTTTTCGATCAGGAGATATCAAATTATACCAAGTTAAGCTTATCTCCTTCACGTGTATCTCATATGCTCGAATCTGCCCGTTTCTATGCACACAGGGGATGTACCTGGTTCATGCCTGAGCTTCCGTTGTCAATCTTCAAAACTAACCTTCACTCGGGCCAACAATGACTTGCTCTTATTTTGTAGAGGGGATGTTATGTTTGTTCATCTGCTATTTGATAGGTTTTAAAGTTTTTCTAAGGCCTCTGGTTTGGTTGCAAACTTGAGCAAAAGCTCTGTTTACTGTGGAGGTGGTACACATGAGGTCCAAAATAATATCCAGAATCTCCTGGAATTCAGCAAAGGGGAACTCCCTATTGATACTTAGGGGTCCCTCTAAGCACCAAGAGAGTATCTGTTGTTCAATGCCAGCCTCTTTAGGATAAAATGTTGGAAAAGATTAAATCCTGGACTACTAGATTCTTATCCTATGACGGCATATCCCAATTGATAAAGTCACTATTGTTCTCCATGCAAGTCTCCTGGGCGCAAATTTTCATCTTACCTAAGAAAGTTTTTAAAGTCACTGAAGCTACTTGTAGGAACCAGTGGCTAACAAAACAGTTAAGAAATCTGCATGGGATTCTGTACCAAGAACATCGGCTTCTCATGTCGATCTTCCGTTCGGCCAATTGGACAGCGTCTTCTTCGTTTAGTTTACTATTCAACGTTCCCGAATCCCTAGTTGTACAGGTACAACCCAAAAGCTTCCTCTTTCATATTGATGAAAGCGCTAGGCACCTCTTAACAGTTCAAAGTCCCCTTGGCTTACCCAGCTTTTAAGGTGAGAACAGCGAATTCAATATCAATAGCTGTGGATTCGATTCCTATTCTTATATATGTTCTTTTGGTCTGGTGGTACTGAGTTGTCAAAAAAAGCTTTGTTAGCTTTGGATAGGGTATCTTATCCAAGGTCTGCATGCGGTTTAAATATTCTAGACATTGCAGTTTGGAATAAAGCTGCAATTAGTAAATTGTTGTGCAATATATGCAGGAAAAAAGTGAAGTGGATTCATTGTTACTATGGGAGGAACATGAATATGTTTGAAGATGTCCCAAAGCAAGCATCCTGGATTGTTCAGAAGATTCTGAAATCCACAAAGTACTTTAATGAAGCAGGCTATATATTGAATGAGGTACAGAGTATGGAGAAGTTCTCTACAAAGCAATTCTACTTGAAGTTAAGGGGTACATTCCAGAAAGTAGCATGTAGAAAACTTGTGTGTAACAACCAAGGTCTAGCCAAATGGATTTTCATATTAAGATTGGCCGAACTTGGGAGATTGTATGCAAGAGACATATTATTCAAGTGGGGTGTGACTCAAGATCAATTTTGTCCCTTATGTGAGCAAGACCATGAATGCTTGGCCCATTTGTTCTTTACCTGTGAGACCACTGCACAACTCTGGAAGAAACTGCTCAACTAGATAGGTGTCACTAGAAACCCAATGGCCTGGGAAGATGAACTACAGTGGGCTATGCAACATGCTAGCGGAAGAAGTCCAAGAGCTAAGGTATACAGAATGCTACTAGCGGCTACTGTTTACCATGTGCGGATGGAAATGAATTATAGAGTGTTTCAAGGCAAGCAGTAGAGTATTGAGCTACTGGCTAGACAGATAGTTCAGGAAATCCATTTTAGAGGTTCAATGAAGGTGAAGATTGCAAAGTGGCTGGAGAGTTTACTATTACCCAGCCTAATTACTTTTGTATTGAGATGATCTTTTTGCTATTTTAGTTTCTAAGCTTAGACTGAAGGTTGGGACTTGATGTCCAACATTTAGTGTTTGTGTATCGTACATAACTCCAATTTTGGTAAAAAATTCTAACTAATTACCAAAAAAAATTGTATACACTTTGATCGCTGCCAACTCCGCACCACTAAAAAGTAGCGAGAGAGGGTCGCAATAGCTTTTACCCGATTTGTGGGTCGGGATCGAATCCACGGAGAGCTAGGATCGAAATCGAGTATCTATTTAGCTTAGGATCGCGTATATGTTCTTAATTACACTTCTCATAATTTTTGGGATTTTTCTTTATATTCTACTATGATCAAACTACAAATTATAATTGCAACTAAATTAGACTAAGAGTAAATTGCTACAAGTTGTATCTAATGGTTTAAAAGGCACTAGGGTAGTGACCTTCACCTAGGTGGCTAATTGACGGGTAATTGCATCTAAGGCACGATTGACATGATTGGGGAAATATGTTATAATCGTTGCTCAATACTACCCACTCTACACCTCTCGGTAGAAAGAGTGATTTTGCCCAATTGACTCTCTCGAGTCCAATTGCGTATGCATAATTGCCCAAGCAACCAGGGTTCAAGTCGGGTAATTACTCTCTCGAGGTATAACCCTTTAATTGGGACTATCAAATCTCTTGAGTCCATCCCAATTCCTTGTTGAGTCAATTTCGGAGACTTAGGCTCTCTTTCTCAAGAAGAGCCCAAGTCTACTAAGCACAAACTAGTATTTGCAACCACTAATTCATAAATTGAACCATAAAATTGACCCAAATAACAAACACCCATAATCAATCTAACCTTAAATCACAACACCCATCAATTACCCACACTAGGGTTGAGCCACAACCCTAGCTAATAGGTTTAGCTACTCATGCTTGAAGATAAAATCAGAGATATAGATGAAGACAAAGACATATTAATTAATTACTAAAGTAAATACAAAGTTTCAATGATTAAAACTACGTAAAGATGCCAAAAATGGCTAAGAAATATCGTCTCACGAGCTCAGCTACCGTATTGTAATATCTGATACCCTAAAAATGGAAAAATATTCTATTTATACTAAGCTGGAAAACTGGACAAAAATTTCCCTACGGGGTCAGTGCGGACCGCACAAAATGGTGTGCGGCCGCACTAGGCTCTTGACTCTGAAAAATCAACTCTCTGAACCCAAGCTCCGCGGACCGCACAGAATGGACTGCGGCCGCGGAGGCATCTAGCGCAGTCCGCACAAATACGACCGCGGACCGCACAGGCTTGAACCTTGGCACTTGACATCTCTCTGAAGTTTGCTTCCGCGGACCGCATAAAATGGTGATGCGGCCGCGGTGTCTTCAGTGCGGGCCGCACAATATCTACTGCGGCCGCACTGCTTTGATGCCTTAAAATCCAGTCTCTGAATCTCCCTAGTGCGGACCGCACAAAGTGTAGTGCGGCCGCACTAGGCTTGTTTGTCCTGAGTTGTCTTGTCTTTGATACTTGTGCATGTTTCACTCCTTTTGAGCCGATTTTTGACATCTCGTCACTTTGTTGCTCAAACCTGCAATCAAGCACAACTTATGAGCCTTTTGGGATTATTTTGTAAGAATTGATAATCAAAGCGTAAGCAAGAAGGAGCATGAAACACATCAAAATCCCTAGTTATCACACTTGTTGAACAAGTTGATTGTAGGATTTAACATCTATAACTCGAACTAATTAAATCTTAGTCATCTGAGGCTTATAGTGAAAAATTTAATACAAAATTCAATTTCTAGGTGGCTTTTAAAAAATAATACAAATCATTTATTTGTAGGTTTTTGAGATCCAAAGGGGTAAATTAGTAATTTTCG